GGGGGCGGGACCGCGCTTGTTTACCTCAGGCCGCGCGGCGCGTCACGTGACCCCCGCCGGAATGTGCGGCTCGTGGAAGCGCCCCATTCAAGTGCGAGGCTCGCCCCGCCCCCCGGGCCCCGCCCCGCCGGCGGACGTCAAGGGCGTGGCCCGCGGCGGCCGGGCGGAAGGGGTGCGCGCTGAGGTTTAGGAGCATGCGCAGTCTCGGATTCCGGGCTGCTGCCCACATGACTTCTGCGGAGCACTGTCCCTACCTGAGCCGGGTTCCCGGGCGGAGCTGCTCTTGGCTGTGCTTGGCGTGCTGGCGGGGTGGGCGCAGCTGGGCGAGCATTAATACTTGGAAAACGTGCATTTCTAAGAAAGCTTCCGGGCTAGGGCTGGAGGACGGGGCGCGGTTTAAACTGTTCCTGCTTGCATTGGCCACCGCCCTTTCCAGCTCCTTGTGTGAGACCAAAGCGACTCCATTTTGCTAAAATCCACTATTCCCCTAGTCTCTATTGTCCTCACAAATTAATGGTTAAAATGTGCTTGCTCTGGGACAAAAGACACACTCTGTAACGAAGCAAAGTTCCTAAGTGGATTACTCAACCATCTGTTTGCCCAGGAAATGAACGTTCCGGGTCCACTATCTATAGAACAATCTGTCAATGTGCTGACCATCAGTAAGTGACAGTCGACCACTAACCTTTGTCCCTCTTTTACCCTGTAAAACCTACGTGTAACCGCCCCTCAAACCCCCGATGGGCCTAGCCAATCAAGAATATACACTTCATGCTTGCTAAATGCCAACCAATCATGTAACTGCTAAGTGAAAAATCTCCAAACCTTGCTGTAACCACAATAAAAACCCCGCTAATTTGAAATTCGGGGCTCTCAATTCTGATCCGCTGCGTCGGTGACGGTTGGGAGCCCCTGCTCGAGCTTGAATAAACGGCCCTCGTGTGCTTACATAGGAATCGGCTTCCTGGTGGTTTTGGGGACTTCGCGATCTGGGCATAACACTTGATTCCGAAGTTTAGGGCCTCTCCTATCCAGAATCTGCCCTGCCAAGTGGAAACCAGCTTTCCTGCACCCCCAATTCATGTCAACTCGGAAATGCTTGGGCGGAAGGAAGGCGGCCTCTCAGTCTACCTCGGCCACCTCGGGTGTTTGGAATATTGGTGCGGGTGCTAAGCGTCGGGCACAGGCGATAAAGAGGGCACAGCCTCCGTGCTGGGCCGGGGTGAAAACAGAAAACACTTAGGGTGACTCCCTTCGTAAAAGGTAGCCAGACTATTCACTTGATAGTCAGGAGATTTTGCTGTATTCTGAGCTTTGATCGAATACTAAACTTACTGGCACTAAACATTCAAATTGGAGTTAGAGGCCGATGCACCGTTTTAAAGATGGGGTTAGGGTGTGCCCTACCCAGGATATGAGATCCGTGAGTGGGAACACTGCCTTGTTCTCCCTTGAGTTTCTATCCCCAGCCACAGTGGCTAGCACATAACAGCTCATCAGTATTTGCTGAATGAAAGAATGGATGGATGGATGGGTGACGGAGGAATAAAAAACGAGTTTTGGCGGAGTCTCAGCCTGAAGAAGCCAGGATTCCTAACCAGGTCTTCTAACGCTAACCTGCGCTTTCAAGTTGCCCTTGACTCACTCAGGTGACTCCAACCTGCTAGGCAAATTACTTCCAGAGAAGTTAAACGACCAACCATCTTTTCAAATTCTAGCGACTACTTATTGGGAGCTGGTAGCCCCCATGGCTAACTAGAAAAGGGAAATTAGATTTTGCCCCTGAGTTGTTGGTTGTCTGTGTTTTGCGTATTAAGCACTTGTCAGTGAGCTGTCCTTAACCTTTCAGAAGCTAGGATTCTGAAACAAGAAAATACTGTTAAAAACAAGGTAATCGGGGCTGGGGATTTAGCTCAATGGCACGGCACCATCCTGAGTTCGATCCCCAGTACCAAAAAACCCCCAAAACCCAAAACAAAAAGCAAAGTAATCATCTAGGGGTGGTGGTGCAAACCTATAGTTCTAGCATTTGGGAGGCTGAAGTAGGAGAACTGCCTCAAGTTCAAGGCCAGTCTGGGGCCCTTAGTGAGTTCAAGGCCAGCCCGAACTACATAGAGAGACCCTGTCTATATCAAGACCCTTTCTCAAAAGTAAAATAAATAATCCTAAGTAATGTTCACTGAACACCCAGTGTGTGCCTAGTTGTCAGGTTTCCGTGTACCCGAGACAGTTTAAAGGAGGAAGGATTTATTCTGGGTGTGGTTGGCTGGCTCCAAGGCAGAAGCACAGCAAAGGGGCATGGTAGAGGAAAGCTGCCCACCTCATGGCAACTGGAAGCAGAGAGGGCAAGGGAGAAAGAGGAAAGGGCGGAGGTGAAGAGCACACTCTTCTGGTCACATGCCCTGTGACCTGCACCCCTCAGCCAGGCCTGGCCTCCCAACAGCCCCTTCAGTTGGCTCTGCATCTTTAGTTGCTTTGTCCCGGCTGCCTTCCTGTCCTGAATCGATTCAGAACATTGACCTTTCTCGTCATTTTGACTACAGAGAAGAATCAGAGGTCAGGCACTGCCAGATCCTGTGCATCAGGTGGGTGAGGACACACTGCAGTGTTGTTAGGAGACTGCCTTTCTGTTGGTTGGCACTGGGCAGCAGCATTCACTATATTTTTGATCACATTTGATAGAGACATGCAGAAAAGAGGACTTCCAAAACCGCTTCCTAAAATGGCGACAATGATGGAATAAGTGTGTTCAGAGTGATAGGGAAGTGCAGTATTGTTTTGTTTTGAGACAAGGTCTCCCTGTGTAGCCCAGGCTGGCCTTGAACTCATGGTTGATCCTCCTGCCTCAGCCTCCTGGGTGCTGGGAATACAGGTGTGCACTGCCACACCTAGCAGGGAAGTGTTTTGAGGGGGGTTAATATCAATGTGTCTTTTACTGTAATAATTTTTAAACTTTAAATATTTACTGTATACTTTGATCACACCATGTACACCTGTCTACCATCAGTTTTCATGTGCCACAAGTAGATGCTGCTATATAGTCATGATCCCGTTAACATCATGTTATGAATGAGTAGATTTAGTCTTTTTTTTTTTTTTGTGCCTGGGATCGAACTCAGGACCTTGTGCTTGCCAGGCAGGTGCGGTGCCACTGAGCTACCTGCCCAGCCATCAGTTTTCAGTGTCCGACCTTCCCTCCCACCAAATCCAAACTTTTATTTACTTTTTTTCATAGAAAGTTAGCAAATTTTTATTGAAGCATAATGTGTATAAAGAAACACACAAAACACAGCCCTTAAAAAAATCTCAAATGTCCATCCAATCTTCAATTATGTCTTTATAAGCCTACTATGAAAAACAATCCTGAAAAATAACGTGTTGCAGTTTCAAAACTGGCTACAAAGCATGGTCATCAATTCTTTATGCTACTAACTTGAAGATAAACTTATAGATGAATGGAACATCTATTCCATTGGAATAGATTTTGTAGTCCAAAAATTAATTTACATACATTTATGGCCAATTGTCTTTTGGCAGTATTCAAAGAAAACTCAATGGAGGATAGTTTTATCAACAAACTGCTAGGAATACTTAATATCTACATGGAACAAAAGAAATTGGACTCTGTATTATTATGCACAAAAAATAACCTAAATGCAAGAGCTAAAACTATAAAATTCTTGGAAAAAGTCTTCATGATCATGACTAAGATGAGAGTGTCCTAGACAAACACCAAAAGCATATACTACAAAAGAAAAAAGTAAACTTCATCAAAATTAAAAACTTCTGTGCTTCAAAAAAAACCCTAACTTTTGTAATTCAAAGGACACCACAGAGAGGCAATCTGAATAGGAGAATATATTTACAAATCATATATATATATATATATGATAAGGGATTTATGTCCAGAACATACTGTATAAAAAAGTTTTATAACTCAACGTAGAAAACCCAATTTTTAAAATGGAAAAATAATTTGAAAAGCTATTTTTCAAAACAGGTATACATACAGCCAGTCAACGTATGTGAAGCTGCTCAGTCTCTTTAGTGATTAGAGAAAGGCAAATCAAAGTTACAGTATTATATACTTCACACCCATTAGGGTAGCTATAATGAAAAATAAATAGCAGCAAATATTGGCCCCAAAAGTGGAGAAATTAGAATCCTACATGCACATTGCTTGGGGGACTTGTAAAATAGTTCATACACTTTGAAAAATAGCTTGGCAGGTCCTGAAACGGTCGCTCTATTAGTACATTTTTCCATTACTAAAACAAAACACCGAAGGCTGGATACTTTCTGAAGAAAATAAGTTTATTAACACTGTTCTTGTTCCAGCACAGCCCCAGTATCTTCACTGCTCTGACGGAGGCTTCATGCACGATAGGCGAAGTCTGTAAACACAGTCACCATCCCAGTGTCAGGATGCACATGGGAGGAAGTCAGATGGCCAGACAGCAAGCCGGCAGCAGGCAGGGAGCAGCAG